AGCTATCTAGGTATCTGGCTTATTATGAATATAATGGAACTAAAGGGGCATGTGGCTCCACACAGTGTCTAAGTAGCAGTGTTGCTTGTGATCTTCATGTGATTAAAATATTCCTGCCAGTAGGACTGGGCCATATCATACCGTTTACAGTAATACCGATATAATGTTGGGCAACGATAAGAAAATAAAATATCACGATAGAATATGGATAAAACGCGCATGCGCAGTGCTTTTGTTTTACACACATGGCGGAAAAAGCACGGCGGCGGCGATGGAGAATGAGAAGGGCGAAAGCGGATCGTTGAATGAAACGGATGAACCAGAGTTGGTTTGTTGTTGGTTTCTAAAACTGCTGCAACTTCAGTGGTGTGGAACTGGTTCACCTTTTGTCCGTCAGATACACAACAAAGCACTATTTTTGGTAGAGCATGCTAGCGGGCCGTCGTTATTACCGTGTTTTTTGGAAAATACGGCACACTTAAAATCAATCCTTTGATTTTTCTGAAAATCGACAGCGTCCCTTATAATCCCGTGTGCCTTGTGTATGAATTCTGGTTGTGTTTACTGACCTCGAAACGATTTTATGTGCACGGCGCTCGAAAATCTGTCAAATGTTTCAGTACGACTTTGCTAAGCTACGAAGCCGCACCGCTTGATGGATTGCCGGAGCATTACGGCTATCGTAGGCTGAGCCTCGCGGGGTGATACGTACTGTGCTTCAACATAATATTACCGTATTGTGTGTGTATAACCTCTTTAAGTTTTGTGGATATTATACATGATTATACATGATATGTCGGCCAGTTTCCACTGGAAATGCCTTTTGGTTAAACTGTCAGCGACTGTTAAATTTTTATATAACTTTAATGCACATAAAAAAACAGCTGCTTGTTTAAGTGAAAATACATTGGGGTTTTTTGTTTTTTTGCACTAATAAAGTTGTGGAGTTGTAAAGTTTTTTGTCTCGTGTCAATTATATCGTCAGTTATATCATTATCGCAAATTTTCAAATGTATATCGTGATAAATATTTTTGGTCTTATATTTGGACTTATGGTTGTCAGACATATCCAGTAAAAAGAAAACACGATAATGATAAATCATATAGAAACCTTATGCCATATGTCGTATTTCGAACTGGAATAAGCCAGCAGTAACATGACAGAAATTAGTGTGTGTGTAAAAGCCTAATTAATATGCACTGTTGCTGACACGAGTCACACTGGTAGTTTAATAAAGCTGAATGAGAGTACAGTTATTAAATTGCTGTGCTGTGAAAACATCAGTTTCCCAGTGGAAACTATATCTATGCTGCTGTTATCAGCAATGGTCAACAGAGGGGGCCAGAGGTCAGTGCTTCCTTAAACTGTTTAAACTGTAAACCCCTGGTGTGGTTTCAGTGCCAGTCCTAAAACTATTCAGTGCATGTTGTACATGGATTTTTTTCAGAGTGTAAATCCTGAAGCAGAGACATTTTCTTAGTAAAACAGGGAGGAAGCAATGCCACTGCGACTCGGGCTTCCTGTGTTATTTAAACGTCCCTCTTGCCATGTAGGCTCTCTCACACAAGACACAATTTGGTTTTGTTATGTAGCAATACTTTGAACCAACTGAGATTAACCCTGTGAGGTCTAAGTCAGCATTGGGTTCCCTAACTGTAACCCTAACTCTATGCTATCAGGAAATATAACTTTTGTTTTTATTTGCATTATTCTCCCACATTTTGGAAATCAGGGAACAAAGAAAATAATCCCTCTAACTGACATCACAAACTATTTTAATTTTTTACAAGGAAGTACATTTACTTTCCTCCACTCCACTTATTCATAGTACCGCATTTGTTTCTGTTTGCAGAGGTATTTGCCTAAAAACCGAACAGTATGTAGCTCGACGTAGATCACGCTCTGTGTAGATTGAGTGCTGATTGGAAGAAAAGTGAGCTGGAACAGGAAAGGGATCACCAGCAGAGTTCAGAACACAGGGAGAGCGAAAAGGCACGAGGCATGAGCTAAAATTGACAGCAGCACCGTGCACCACGCTTTGGCGTCATTTTGCCTTGGATACTCTCAATTTTTGAAACCAGCATGGCCAGTGTGGTCAGGTTAAAGATGTGCATGTACAATTGCGCCTGTATTTACCATTAATGATATATTAGTATAAGAGCTCAGAGATTCCCAGATTATACAAAGAGAAAAACAGCAGCATCTTGAAAAGATGAGTTTTTCAGAGTTTTTTCGGAGTGGCGATAATGTCATTCAGGAGAAGACCGAAGGGATTTCAGCTTCCCCCCACATTGATAGTGCAAACAACACTGTGTCGTCTGATGAAGTTACAGCTGGAACACAACAAAACTAATGCAGCGCGTATTCGCTACCACATGGCTAACCCCAAATCTGAAGTCAACACTAAAACACATCTTTTGTTCCCAGATGTCAGGTACCCATACCGTGTAATCAAATCAGTGCCCTTGAAATGTAGAGTACATCTTCTTTATCTTCTTACCCCTCTGAGATCTAAGAAGTAGGTGGTAGCCCTAACCTATCCCTATATTTTGGAAAAATATCGTTAGAATGAATAAATTTTTTTTTCCTGCTGACTTAGGAGCACAGTTTAATAAAACACAAATGAGGTATTCATTAGATTGCCCAAGGTCGGTTAGGGTTTGACAGCTTAGACATCACAAGGTTAAAGATGTGCATTTGCCATCTTCAGTTTTAGGATATATGTCAGAAATCTGTTTTTTAAATCAAACTATCTTTCAATTGAATAGGTTCACATATTTGTCCTGAGTGTCTTTCACGTTAAGTTAAAGTTGTGTAAAGTCTCATGGAGTTGCTTATTTGCTCAAAATCAATAACCTCACACTGACACAGTGACCCACATCTGAAGTTCTGTAGCCTTCATACGGCACAGATAAACCAGAGAAGCATACACCACCAGGCAAAAAGGGTTACATCAATATGAATTATCATTAGGGGATTGCTTAGCAACCGCAGATGGTTGCCTAGCAACAGCATTGCCAGGCAGCAGTATGGGTGTGTTCAAAAGTCACACTGTAGTAAAGCAAAAGAGCAAAAAAGGGAAATGTTGTGTGATGTGTGATTCTGTGTAGAATCAACTCTTAAATGTAATACAGCTTTTTAGTTTTCCATGGATAGACCCCACCTCCACCATCTTGGACTGCAGCTGCTGACAGTGGTCCTTGTTCAGCTTTGGAAATGTGCTCTGAAAAGACTGAATTCCCAACTAAAACTTGGAGGCTGGAGAGTAGAAAAAGGATTTTAGACCTCTATCTCATGAACATGATCAATACTTGCCATAATTTCAAAATGTTATGGACAAAACTCTTTTTTGTCTAAAATTAACATTGTTGTTAACAAAAAGTTGCCAAAAATGCCCAATGTATCAAATGCCATACAAAAAATATATAATAAATATTAGTGCTGTCAGCGTTAACGGGTTAACGCAGGCTGATCTGCATTAACGCGTTAAAATGGGCTAATTCGCGTTAACGAGTTAACGCAGATCAATCCATGTAAGGGGTTACTCAGCATCCAGCGTTAATGCAGCTTAAACATGTTAACGCCATCATCACGACTAATGTGATGAACAATTAACCCGTCTGGAGCGCAGACTGACTCAAAATCCCTGAAATGACTCTGCTAACGCATTTCAGGAAGTTTGTCCAACGTGTGTCCATTCTGCGCTCCAGATGGGTTGAGCCCTTTAAAAATTGTAATCGTGTTAATCGTGATGACAGCATTAATGCGTTAACACTGACAGCACTAATAAATATATAATAAAGATATACCATAAACAACATGATATAGCAAATATATACAAGATATAGCATTTTGTTATAAGGGTTATTAAACATCTCAGTTCCAAAAAAACAGAATTTTCTGGCTGTTTTTTGATGGGTTGGGTCTTACAGGGTTAAGTCAAAATTGATAGTATGAATGTATGTGAATGAGGCATGTAGTAAGAAACTGAGTAATCAAACAGAAAAGAACGGGGCTGTGTAAGTAACAGTCCATTTATGTATGTATTAAAGCATCGCAGCGGTATGACGCCTTTGCTAGCTTCACGGAGCTTTCAACTGGATGTGATGAATCAACACATCTGACAAAAAATGATGAGCTTAAATCCTCCCTTACTTTGCTGCAAAAGGTCTAGGCTGCTGGAGGATTCCCATGATGCACTGAGGCTATGACCACACTAGCCCGAAAACGCCGTCTCAGTGTGGACGGGAGGCCAAAACGGAGAGAAAACGATGCATTTTCAAACGAAAAGTGTGGACGTAGCCTGAGTGTTTCACTCACTATGTGTTTATACACCTCGTGTTATTATTAATCTCTGGTTCTCTTCCACAGCATTTCTTTGTCCTGTCTTCATCCACTCTTCCCTAGCCGATCACGGCAGACAGCCGCCCCTCCCTGAGGGTGGTTCTCCATGAGCCTTCTTCCTGTTAAAAGCCACCAAAGTTCTTCTAGAAACAAGTCATGCTCCTTTTTATAATGCCAGAATAAATGGAAATCTGATTCATCTTCTACCTGACAGAACCTATATAATGCACATAATCCTATAACAGATGTATTTCCTTATCCTTTTATTAGTCCTCCGTGCTTATCACTGATGCAATGCACAACAACAGAATTCTTACATATATTTCTATTCAGGATTCTCAGGCATTCAGGAGTGCACCGTCTCCTCCCTGTTTTCTGTTTCTGCCACCCAAGCTACATAAGTGTCCTTTCAGATACTCTGGGGACCTGCTGCTATTGATGTTATAGCACTATAGCAGTATACTGAGTGCGGTCAGAGACATTTACACAAGGAAATGACATTCACTGCAGATGATTAAACTGTTAGAGCAACGAGATTCTGTTAAGGAACACATATGGATCATAACATGACTGGACATAAGGAGTCAGCTGGAAAAGGAAGTGATTAGTTCTAATGGTTTACTGACACACTCTCTCTCTGTCTCCATCTCTGTAGGAGTGTTGACAGGAAGTGTGCGCATGTGTGTTTGCTGACATCGTGAGCAATCATGTTCCGGAACAGCCTGAAGATGCTACTGGGCGGCAAAGGTCGCAAGAACAATACCAGTGGTCAGTAAATTCAAATTATATGTGTTTTTCACCCGTCATTTTGGGCTCCAATCAGAAGCTGTGCCTCTAATCTGTGTGTTTCAATGAAGCCATGTCATGGATGTGTAAATAGATAGATATGTTAATGCTATATTACACAAAATATTGTTGTAATATTGTTGTTGTAAAACACGCAGATCATGGGTGGCTGTTTGTTTGGGCACATACAGATGAGTTCTTCTTATGTACACCACTGTTTCATGCAGCAGTGTCTCTCTCTTGCTCTTTGTCACTTTTCCAATAGGTAACACGGACTCAGAGGCATCAGAAGTCAGGATGATCGAAGGATTCACTCGTTCACTCCCCTCCTCTCCTCTCCTTAACCTTCGCCTGGGCAAGAGACCTGGTAGGACTGTCTATTTATCTCAGTGCGTGCTCAATGAAAGGTTTCTCCCACTGAAAACGTTACGTCCAGATGAACAGAATCAACCTTTTGGGGCTGTCTGTGTAGCTCAGTATGTTGGTCGATCACTCATGTTTAGTATTTGATTGTGTGACGTTTATGTGGTCTTATAAAAACAACAAGTAGTGCTGGAAATATGTGTGCAAATATTAGTCACAATATCTGTGTATATATTTCTGCATCTTATAAATAGAACGTGATTGTAATTATTTGTTGACATTTTTATTTGCATTTAAAACGGCTGATAAAAAATATTTTTGTTGATATGGCATAGGACTCAGAAATAACTACCAGTAGTGATGGCTACTGTGATATTTTAAAACCAAAACTTTAAATTGTCTTTAAATATAATATATAAACTGTACTGCACTCCTTCCTTGATTTTCTTTGTTCCTGTGGCTTCTTCTCCCCGTAGATGCACTGATCCAATTCCTTTCCTGTTCTGATCCAATGTACATACCTTGATTTTATTTTACCTTACTAATGTGATACTCATGTTAACCATCTGAGGTCTAAATAATGCTGGGAGTTAACCCTAACCTGTACATTTTGACCTGGGAGCACAGTTTTTGAAAAGAACAGAAACATCATGTTCTGAAAGCACAGGATTAGGGCAAACTCATCAATGATAATGACTTAGACCAAAAAGGGTTAATACCTGCAGTGTTTCATTCATTAGTAACCAAGTGTCCACTGTCAGAGCCACAGCCCTGGTTCTTTTTAATGGACAAGACCTACTTTTTTATGTTGTAACCCAATGAAAATATGAACACACTGGTAGGATATACAAATATTTATAAATCTGCCGTTAAATCTTACATCAGAGCTGTACTTCCTGAACATGTTTATGATGTTATCAGTATCAGCGTCACTGAGTGATAGTCGAAGGACTTGGAAAGAAAAGCAGCTGGACTTCTTTAAAAAGTTGTGCCAATTGATCTCAATGGGTCACATGATTGGTGAGGGAAGGTCTCACAACGGTTTCACTCGAAACCTCTGCTGATAATGACCCATACCCTTTTTCACACCTTGGCTTACATCATAGGCGTCAAACTCCAGGCCTCGAGGGCCGGTGTCCTGCGGTCTTAGATGTGCCCTGCCCCAACACAGCTGATTTAAATGGCTAAACATGTCTTGAAGTTCTCCAGAGGCCTGGTAATGAACTAATCATTTGATTCAGGTGTGTTGACCCAGCTTGAGATCTAGTCGCTTTTCTTTTTTTCAAGCTCCATCCATGACCTGGATGACTGAACCTGCACAGACACACTGAGTGATAGGTATGTTTACATTCACAGGTGCACTAGAAGCAAGAATAACTACCAGACAATTCTGCATGCCTTTAGTTGTTTAAAATAACAAAAATGCCAACAAATAGTCTCAATTCATAGCTCACAATGCCGCTCACTCCATGATATTGTAGATTTTAGATACTAACTCACCAGGCTAACGCTAAATGCCATCTTATCCCCCAGCTTGTGTTAGCTTGTTTAACTGCTACAGTGCTGCTGGTGCCACCACTTAGTACAGGACGAAGCTGTAAGTTTTGGGGGGTTGTTGTATTTGTGAACCACACACAGGGAAAATACTTCAAAAAATCTTAACTCACATTATACTAGATTACTTCATCGTTTCGTAGCTAGTAGTTAATGTTTGCTAACTTCAGTTAGCTTAGCCTTTGCTTTTCCCGTTGCTGTAAAGTGAGCCTATATAAAAAATAACCAACCAAAACACTATGTCAGCTCTTTCTCACTAGTATTTTAGTAGTTCATTTTTACTTACCATCAACTTCTAGAAGTCCATACCTGGAGTAATGTTTATAAGGCAAAACTAAAATAGTTTCTAGAGGGTGAAGCTCAACTCCTTCGAAGAAAAAGTCCTTCAAGAATAAATGAAAGGTACAAGACTAAAATACATTTGTGTGAGAGATGTAATAAACATGTTGGATATACATGTATACATATGAAATGCATCCTTGCAAATTCAAGAAACCTGCCCGTTGTTGTGAAGCGTCGACTCACGTTTATCATGTGAGTACACTTATACAGTGGAAACCCACAAATGTTTGCCAAAGGAGGAGAAGGAGGACAACCAGTTAGTGTAGCATATTGTCAGGATTTCAGGAAAGTCCGTATGGCTGTTAATGCAAAGTTAAATCATAACCCTCCAGCTGCACACAGACAATGGCAGTAAGCTGGGGAATCCTTCTGGAACAGTCTGAGCTGATAAGCTCTGTCATTAAGCGAACGTTTCAATGAAGATGAAACATTGTCAGCTGACAACATATTCATTTCTGTCTGTGTCGCTTCATCAGTTGATCTTTGCAAATGCTTTGCTGCTTAAAATGTCATGTTTGGTGTGAAACATGCCGAAACAACAGGATTCAAGCTGCTGGGAGGGTCTGTGTCCTCTTCTGTGTGCATAATGAATCTATATCATAAGAAATCTATACGCGCAATTTATGCAAATCTTCTTGTAACCATGGTAACACAAGCCTGTTCCTCATTAAGGCACTCGAAGGCAGTTAAAACTGCAGACTGTTTGTGTCATCTGCACACTATGTGTTTTCTTCCTCCCTCAGACACACAAACACACACACACACACAGAGCTGTGACCTGTTACACAGCGTATGGTAGCAGATGGGGGTGGGTGGCCTTTGACCCTGTATTTGATCGTCCCACTGTGCCTGAGTGAGAGAGAAAACACTGAAATATTACACCCAGCCCCCTGCCAAGCTCTCCAATCCTCTCCTCACCTAAACTCTTCTCCCGCTGCTCCTCTTCCTCCTCCTCGGGGCTGATTTGACACACTTGTCTTAAACATTACCATGTGGAGTTTATCTCTCTGCCCTTTATAAAGTACAGCACTAAAGAAGGGAGACTTCTTTAGTTATTGCACAACGTCTACACACACAAACACAGACAATCTCAGATTTGGCTTATTTCTCTTAACCCTTTTTTTTTTCTCTTCCCATTGTGTTTTTCCCCCTGTGCTTATACTCTTTTTCACCACCCCGGCATATCCCTGTCCTTTGTTTTGTCCTGCTCCTTTCCGTGACTTCTACACATCATTAGCTGCTGACATGGATCCACAGTTTGATCCTGGGAAGAGACACAAATACCTTTGAGGTTGTGTCAGGAACAAGCAACACAGAGAGTTGTTGCCTGTACTGATCTCAGATAGAGGCAGTGTGCAAAGTATGTTGTGGTATGTAGCTTGGGCTATAGCAGTAATTAAGTGTAAGCTAGCTTTTTAATAGCTAAAAGTAATTTAATTGGAAATTAAGTTGTAGCCGATTTAAGCAGATTTTTGTCAACAGTAAAATCTTTTGGCCACCAGCGTTTAGCAGCTTTCATTTTAAGAGCAGTGAATGGATAGTTCTTGCTAAAATACAATTTGGGACTTGTATTTTGCTTAGTAAACACTATAATCCAATGAATTATTATAATAATATAATAATTCCCCAAAAATAAATCCTTTGCAGTTAAATTTAGTCATTAAAAAGAAAAAACACAAGCTAACTCTAGCTCAAGATTGACTAGAGCTTATCATATCTGAGCTTAACTGCAAGGTTAGCTTTTAGCTTATTTTCAGTTTACAATATTTGATAAACTTTCTTTGAATAACATGTTTAAACCTCCCGTAATTAACTATGTACGTGCTGTGTAAATAAGCTGCAAAGACATTATTAACATATAATCAGATTTTATGTTGGTATTTTACACTAATTAGCAAAAATTTACTAATAAGTCCAACAGTGTAAAAGATGGACGTAGTTCGGGGTCAGAAAAGTTCATTCAAAACTGAAGTTGCTTAAATCTGAATTATTTTTAATGAACACGGGGGGATCCTTCAGCCTGAAAACACTTTGTGTTGGATACAATTCTGTCTGTGTCTGGTAGACTCTTTATTAATGAGTTTATAGACTCAGAAAGGAGGATTGTTTAGCATATTGTCATTTGCTAATAAGGTTGGGCGATTGGATGAACATTTCGACTATTAACGATAGGCCGAGCCTTTCACCGATCGTTTACACAAGAGCGGTGTATTTATTTATTTGCCCACGAGTAAGTTTGCTAATATTGTTTATTGAAGCTAAGAGAAGCGGTCAACCAAAAAAATAATAGCGCTGTTTTAATGGCACACTCTTCCAGCTGTGAACAAATGCACATTCCTCAGAGTGCGCAAAATGCTGCGACTCCTTTACTCAAACTCAGAAAGAACGAAAGGCAGCGGCTTGTGTTCAGAAAAAACACAAAAACATTTTATTTGAATAAAAAAACAACAACAATGGTGGGGAGGGAAACAACGAGAAACTGCATCTTTTTTCTACTATAACCGTGTTTACAGGCTGTTCCAGTGTTTGTCTTACACACTCGACCAAACTACAAATACAAATTAAACAAAAAGTAATTTGAAAATCAAAATGTCTCTTCCAGCCAGCACAAAAAAAAAATCTCAGACGTAATGTTAAGTCTTTTGTATGATTTGGCGAATCTCAAACAAAGAAATAAATGAATGAATAATCCAAAAAGTAGCTATATTAATACTGAAACAAACAAGAAAAGAAGGTAAAATATTCCCTCAACAAACAAAACGTATAAATTCTAAACGCGAAAATCAGTCCATGCATGATTACATGGCTCCGCCCATCAAAATGTCTGTGCCTGCGCAAATATATCGCCTGTCATCGGTTGTTGGACTGACAACATATCGCCCAAGCTTATTTGCTAATGACTATTCAATCAGAGGAGGTTATTGTTTCACAGTCAGCTCCACTTTTCTATTATCACATCTGGCTTTCAAAGAGATGCTCATGGTAAAAATGACATCACATTTTTGTGACATCACAGAGGATTTAAACTGTGGCTTTACAAAAGGTTCTTACTCTGTATGTTTTTAGAAAACTAAATAAAAAAATAAATAGTGTAATAACGTTCTAAGA